CCAGCGAGGCCCAGAAGACGCCCTGGCCGGCGCAGAACAGCCCGAGGACGGCGAAGAAGCGTTGGCGCTCGTGCTCGAACAGCAGCACGTCCCGCGGCGGGGTCCCGGCGTGCAGGGGCCGCAGGCAGAGCAGCAGACCCCGGGACCAGCGCCGCCACAGCGCCATGACCGCGCGGGCTGCTTCCGCTTCCGGGGCGTCCGGCTGCTGGCGCTTCTACTTCCGGGTTGGGCTTCCGGCTCCGCGCAGCCCCCACCGCTCACGCTCACGCGCTTCCCCGCGCCCCAGGAAACCAGGCACCGTCAACACAGTATCACGCTTTATCTTAAAAAGTACAGGGATCCCGGGTTAAGTACACGAAGCACCTAGTCCTTCGGGCGGCTTAGTGTCAGTCTGCTCAAGGGCGCTGGCTCCCGCGGGCCCACGGCTCGGCCTCGCAGGGTCTCTGGGCCGGGAGAGTCCAGGCGGCGGCGCGGGTACCGTCCTCGCCCAGCGCACTGGCAGGGAGGCCGCGCTTGCGGCGACGGGCGCCGGTGATGGCCGGACAGCATCCAGGGGCTATTTACAGGGGCCACATCGCAGTCACTTCATGAACGCCACCTCCGGGATCTCGCCCTTGGCCTGGAGAAGAGCCCTGGGTCAGCATGCTGCAGGCTCCACCCAGCCGAGGACCCTCCCTAGGGCTCCATCTCCAGCCTCCACCCTGAGACCCTCCTGCCTCTGCCTCCTGAATGCTGGGGTCATGGCAAACGGTGCCATATCCCGAACCTTACCTTGAGATGAGTGAAGGCCTGGGCAGACCTAGTATAGTCCCAGTTGTTGTCCTGGAGGCATCTGCAGTGGGAGGAGAGACAACTCTTTGAGAACTGAGGCACAGCCAGCCATCCTGATCCCTACAGGATGACTATGACTTGCTGCACTGTTCCCTGAATGAAACCATAGCAACAGTCAAGGTTACTAAACCAACACCATTTTTACACCCAGAAGAAAGCACTGACACCAGTGAGAAGGGAAGCATTGGGATAGTACAGAGACTGCGGAGGGGGTAGGCTGTGCAGCCTGTAGTCCCAACACTCGAGGATCTGTGAAATCAGCCAGGGTAAGGCTGCGAGATCAGCTTAAATTTGAGAAATAGCCTTTACCAAAACCCAAAAATTAAGTTCCATAAACAGAGCCAGCAGATTTTCCAGTAGCTACAGATTAGAACAAGAACTCAATTTAGAGAAACATGGAGAAAGCCCATGTTTACATGATTGTGCCAGATTAAAGTTAAGGAGTTCAATAATGAACTGTGCATTTAAATCTTCACTTTGCGATTAAACTTTTTTTTTTTTTTTTGGTGTTTTGAGGCAGGGTCACACTACACAGCTCAGGCTGGCCTCAAACTCCCAATAATCCTCTTGCCTCAGCTGCCCAAGTGCTAGGGTTACTGAAGTACAACCCCACACGCAGCAAATAGCTGTTTCTTGAAAAACATTTCTCAGTACTTTGTGTAAGTGCCCTGTGCTTTAGCACTCAGCTAGAATCTCTACACTATATCCTTAGAAAAGGCATGAGCCTTTTTTTTTTAAACCCTGTAAGAATGTTTTTGTCTTTAAAAATCGACATTCCTTATTGCCAGCCCTTTGCTCATGATCCCACCCATGCCCCACACTCACTTCTGGGACCACTCAAGGTTCATGCCAGACTGGGTAGAGAACGTCTGCAACATTTCCTGCTGCTCAGGGGAGAGGGTGGGCACTGGGCTGGAGGAAGGCGTGGGTGCAGGCATGGCGAAGGCTCTCTGGATTTCCTCAGGGCTCGCGTTCCGCACAAAGAGCTCGTCATTTACAATACACAGCCTTGGAGGAAAAGCAACAACAAAACAAAACAAGACCTTGAACAGTTGGATGGACAAATAAGCTCGTTCCCAACATTATTTCTTCTCCAACACATGAGATGCAGTCTTGCAATACCTCCATCTCCCCTCCTACTCTTAGCTGTGACCCTTTACCATTCACCTCTTTCCAAGGAGGCCAAATTGGAAGGATCACCTCCCCAACACACTGAATTACACATCTGCCCACCCTGTGGGCAGCTGTTACCCATTTGTCTTTTATTATCTTCGCAACAGAGTTAGGAAGTGAATACTGTCATACAAACTGTCTTGCTTATACCCAGAATTGGTGAGGCCAGGATGAAAACCTAGACAGTCAACCCTCGGGCCAAGCTCTTCATCACAAGAGCCTTCGATCTCCTGCTGCCTTTGTGAAAACACTCCAAGGACCGACCTTCCCTTCCAGTTACCACACTGCTGGCCATGGGCTCGACTGGAACCAAGCGTGGTATAAGACTCACCCTGAACTGCTGGCAGGAACAGCGATGAATGTCCTGGTGAAGGCTCGCAAAGAATCACGAGACTTTCCATCCACTGCAATGAGAAGAGCAGCAAAGGCCCTCAGACCTGGTCATGCTCTGGGTACACACAGGTTCTCAAACCATGGCCACTGGTACAAAGAACCCTAAGTGGGCCAGACAGGAATGGCTCTACATTTAAATGGGGATAGAGCATGGTGAAGGGTCAGACATCAGGGAAAAGGGTAACAGTAACAACTATACTAAGGCTGGAGCACCTGTGTGCCAGGCCCCAGGTCAAGCGCTAGGCTTTGTCACTTTCCACTGTACCCCAAGAGGGTATTAGAAACCCCATCTTAGAGCCGGGCGTGGTGGTGCACACCTGTAATCCCAACACTAGGGAGGCTGACGCAGGAGGTTCTTTGCGAATTCAAGACAAGCCTAGGCTACAAAGTGAGCTCAAGCCCAGCCTGAACTGCATAGTAAGACCCCGTCTCGAAAAGACAAAAGCAAAACAAAGCAGAAACCCCATCTTAGGAGTAAGGAATCTAAGGCTCAGCGGTACTGGAACTTGCTAAGAGACCCACACAACTAAGATCAGGGTGAGAGGAGGTGGTCAGGGGAGAAAAGGATGAGAATACAGCTGGGAAGCGAGAGTGCCGAGAAAGATCTCACTAGGGGAGGGACCGTGCCACAACATCAGGACTCGAAGATTCTTACCTTCTTTGAAGACCCCATTGACAGAAAAACACAGCAGTGTACTCTGAAACAAAAGCACCACCGGATGTAACATGAGCTTCCTAGCCAAGGCCTGCACCCCCACCTCCCACCCGCAAGGCTTCTGCCAGCGCCGACACGGTGCTTACTGTCTGGGCACTAATGTCTACCACGAAGGAATTGACGTCATGCTGAGTTTTGGGCAACTCATTGAGGAAGGCAACAACGTTCAGTCGTGTGTGCTTCAGTAGCCGGAACCGCAGGGCTGTGGGTGAAGAAGGCAAGGCTGGGGCTACCATGCACTTCCAAACTCCACGCATCTGTCCCATCCATTCTCTCTGCCACCCTGTTTTATGCCTAACACACACTCACTAGGGTCTTTAAGCTTCTTTACATTTCTGCTGTCCTTGAAGTACTCAGCCAGGTTGCTCCTGGGGAGAAGGAGCGAGAGAAGCAATGATCAGAGCGCGGTGGGGGTCAGCGGCGCACCCTGCACCAGTGAGGAGCAGCCTGTGGCACATACCGCGCAGGGTTCTGGGGGATGAAAGGGATGCTCAGCGAGCAGCAGGCCCCGTCATGGTAGGCGTCCAGGAGCCCCTGCCGGTCCCCGGAGTCATAAATTGCATAGTACCTGTGGGAATACAAAAGGAAATACCGTGCTGCACTGTGCAGTCGAAGACCTGGGGGCCACCCCACCTCAGAGGCCTGGGTACTCACTGCTGCAGAAAGTGCAGGACCAGATTCTTCAGGTTCTCTGTGCCAAAGTAGCTCCCCTGAAAGCAAGCAGATGCTAGGTTAGGTGCGTGGAGCAGCCCCCTCCCCACACAGGCTCACCCCCGTGTCCCCCTCACCTTGCATGGTGGTAACACTGTGGGCGCTTCCACATCAAAGGCAATTGGCGGGGGTAACTCGTGGCCATCCTGTGGAAACGACAGCCGAGTGTAAATCAGAGGAAGGAAGAAGGCTGGACATGTAAGGAGATGGCAGAGCTAATCTTTTTTTTGTCTTTTTGAGACAGGGTTTCACTGTGCAGTTCAGGCTGGCCTTGAACTCATTTGTAGCTGAGGCTGGCCTTGAATTTACAGTGATCCTCCTGCCTCAGCCTCCTCAGTGCTGGGATTAGAGGCGTGAGCCACCACACCCGGCACAGCAGAGATAATCATGAAGGGTTAAAGTTAAGCGTGAAGCATCAAGCCATGTTTGGTGACCCAAACCTGTAATCCCAGAATTTGAGAGGCTAAGGGAAGAGATCGACCCGGCCAAGGCCAGCCTTGTCTACATAGTGAGTTCAATGCCATCTCTACCCTATGCCGTGAGACTGAAACATGCAGTGTTCAAGAACATTGATATACGCAACTTCTGCCTAAACATGTTTTTCTGGGAAGATGATCGTATTTATCAGCTTCTTAAAGGGATCCAGGTCTTTTTGAGACAGGGTCTTGCTATGCAGTTGAGACTGGCCTTGAACTTACAACGATCCTCCTGCCTTAGCCTCCTGAGTGCTGAGATTACAGGTGTACCCCACCATGCCAGGCCGAGGTCTTTCTTTTTTTTTTGGTCTTTTTGAGACAGGGTCTCGCTATGCAGTTCAGGCTGGCCTTGTGCTCACTTTGTATCCCAGGCTGGTCTCGAACTCACAGCGATCCTCCTGCCTCAGCCTCCCGAGTGCTGGGATTACAGGTGTGCGCTTGGCAACCCAGGTCTTTAATGGCCACGTAAAATAGGCTCAGCAAGACCTTAGCAGTGGGAGATGCTATGCTTGTTACGAGAACAAGAAACATCTTAGACTTACCAGGCGTAGTAACTTGGGAAATCGTTCACGAATGGCGCTGTCAAGAACAGGACAGAAGTGAGTGACACCTCGGGCCACCATGCCTCCAGGGCTGCTCTAGGAGCAAACACACCCACACCTGGGGGCAGCCCCTCCCATCCTGCTCATCACCAGGCCCAGCCTGCACTCAGGATAGGGTGACCCCCACTTGCTCAGGCACCCAGACCACCAGGTGGCCCTGAGGGCCAGCTCTTCCTCTGCCCAACTGAGGACAGCAGGCAGCAGCATATGGCCTAGGCCTGAAGCCCAGGCCCTCCTTTTTCCCACCTGGCCCCCCTTACCTTCCACCTACTCACCTGTGCAGCCCCAGGGGGCGGGAGTGGGGTGGGAGCCCAGGGGCTCCGCTGCCTCACCAGGTGTCCATCCGTCCTGCCAGGTCTGGCCTTGGCCAAGACCAGAACACACCACAGGGATGGCACAGTATGTGGGGGCAGGGGATGGGCAAGGTGGGCTCAAGAGAAGTGGCAACAGAAAAGAAAGAAGGAAAAGGAGAAGAGAAAAAAGCAGGCTGGGGCAGGGGAAGGGAGAGACGAGGAAAACAAGCAGGAGAAGAAAAAGAAAGAACTAGAGGCCAGGAAGCACTTAGACAAGAGGAACAGAAAGCGACACCCTGATGCAGCCCTTTCCTTCAGCTGCCCCTACCCCATGGTCCAAGGACAAAACAGGCAAATCCTGCTGCAAGGTGGTGGGCAGGTGGGTGGGCAGTGGCCGCTGACCAGGTCTGTCTGCTACCTGGGTCCTGATCTGAGCCAGGCATGGGAAGCCAAACAGCCATGGGGGCCGGAGACCTCCCTCCGACAGTGAGGGTTCAGGCCCCTGCAAAGTTGGGGGGGTGAGGGTCTGTGCCCCACCTCTGTTGGCCCCCAAGTTCTCTCCTGATGGCCCCGCTGCGACTGTGCCTGTCTTAGGTTGTTCCTTCCCTGAGGAATCTTACCCGTCTCTGGCTAACCAGCCATCCTCCGGGGCCAAGCAGGGTAATATGCAGTGTGAGCGTGGGGCAGCACCCCACAAAGTCCTTCCGTCTCCTCGGCAGCCTGTGCCCCCATGGCCTCCATGCCCAGCACATGCCTGGAGATGCCCGTGCCTCCTGGCAGGGCCCTGGCTCTTGTCACATATTTTGGGAACCCAGGTTTCTTTTCCAGGGAGGACCCAGCTAATAGCACTGGGTGAGCAAGCAAGACAGACGGCACAGTTCCAGCCTCCAGGGGCCTCAGCATGGGCTACCAAGTCTAGGCCACAGCCTTTGACTGTGAATCACGCAGAGGTCCCTCTTGGCACAAGGGCAAGAGGGGCCATCATGAGACAGAGGGGTCAGCCCACTCAGCTTGAGTCCAGTGAGGACACCAGGCTCTTGGCCCAAGGTAACACCACAGATGGGGGCATATACTAGACACCTCCGATCAGCGCGGAAAAGTGGAAGTGCCCTTCCTGGAACAACAGGGTAGGGAGATTCCAGAAAAGGCTGCATTTAGGAGGGCGAAGAAAGGCTACAGAACCAGCACACAATGGTCAGTTAAGAAGCCACAGGAGACCTCAGGACAGAGCTGGGAGACACAGACGGATGAAAGGGAGGAGCACACATCCTCCCAGTGGACAGGTGGCTCCATCTCAGGGCTGCACGTCTCCTGCAGACGGCACTGGTCAGGTGTGTTACCTCAGCCTCCCAGAGGGTGAAGGTCCCCAGGAGGGGGGACAGAAGCCACCACTGACCTGATGTAGGTGGACTGGTCCCGGAAGGTGTCACACAGGGTATTCCCATCAAGCCACAGCTCTTCCAGTTTCAGCCCTTTTATCTTGTCCAACTCCCGCTCTGATTTCAACTGTGAAGAAGGGGAAGGAGGGGGAAGAGGCTAGTGAGGGAGTGGCGGGGCCTCGTCCCAAACCCCCTCTCCTCCCACTTGGCAGCCCCACACGCCCCACCCGGCACCAGTCCCGCCCTCACTTCATTTCCAGAAAGGTTAAGGATCTTCAGGTTGGGTGCCTTCTGCACGATGCTGGACATGTCATCTAGTTTGTATAGCCTATTGTTGCTCAAATTCAAGGACAATAGCTGCAGGGGGAGGAGAGGGCAGAGTCACTGGTGAGTGGGCCAGGGCAAGTCTGAGCCCTGGCCATCTCGCCCGCCCCCACCCAGCCAGGCCCCACCTCAGGGATGTTCTCCTCAATGATCCGCAGGGTTGCCGCCATACAGCTTCGACGATTCAGAACGACATCAATGTTCTGAGCCACCAAGTCTTCAGGAAACAGACAAAAAGGAAAGTGTGAGAGACCAGCAGGGCCAGCATCAGCAGAGAACCATCCTCGTACTTACTCTGCCCACACCAGGCTGAGATCACTACCATGAGCTGTACCTGGGTCTGAACGGAGCCCCTTGAGGTCAAGTGCTTGCTGGGAGCCGTCGTAACGTTTACTCATGACCAGCTGCAGAAGAAGACATGGAGTTCAGTCACTGGTGTGGTGTGGACGGAGAAGGGGAAAGACTCGGCTGGAATACTCATTCGGACAGGTGGCCTCACCTTGAGCTGCTCCACTTGTTCTGGCTTCAGTTCGTTCTGTACAGTGTGGGGTGGGGCAGAGGAGTTGATGATGATAGAGATCTAGAGAGAAGACAGCATGCAGGGTAAACTCCAGGAACCCGAGCCCACAGACCCATCCCTGCCCTGCACACCAGGCCCTACTCCACCACACCACGCCTTTGCACGTACCCTCCGGTTGTCCCGGTCCACAATCTTGTAGTTCACAGCCTTTAACGCAGAGGCAGTGCTGGCATCCTCCACAAAAAACTGGGCCCGTGTGTTTTCATAGTGAAACTGTAAGAGGAGGAAACCGGACAGCTGGACTCAGCCAGGCAAACCAGTAATCCTAACAATGTGGGAAGCTGAGAAAAGAGGACTGCAAGTATGAGGCTAGTCTGGGCAATTTAGAGACCTAGCAACACCCTGTCTCGAAAGTAAAGAAAGGCTGAGGATGTGGCTCAGTGCACAGGCCCTGAGCTCAATCTCTAGCACTAACAAAACAAAATGAAAGCGCAGTGTGAGACTCGAAGCCCACAGCCAGCACTCAGCCAGCGGGCGTCCATGCTGTCTTTCTTACCTCCACAGGGGTGAACGGGACGCTGCACTTGCTCTGAATCGTGCTCAGGAGCCATGACTTCTCATATTTTCTGCCATAAGGGATCTAGCAAGGAGAGAAAGAGGAACACTACGCACTAAGGCAGAAGAGCCAACTCATCTAGCCCTCCTCTATACCCTCTGCCAAAGTCTGAGAGACCCTGCAGGGCTAGTGTGCAGCCCAAAGCTATACCACATGCTTCACATGTGCATGGCCTTGTACTAGTCCCAGGACCACAAAATTTAAAAACAGAATTAGTTAGGCATGGTGGAACATGCCTACAATCCCAGGACTCAAGAGGCAGAAGTTTGAGGTCAGCCTGGACTACACAGTTCAAGCTCAGCCTAAACTGCACAGTGAGACTCTGTCTCTATATAAAATAAAAGAACTAAAAAAAACTTTGTGAAGAAGACCAGTTACAGACTTTCCACTTGAGAAACAGATGGATTCCTTCCTGTCCCGGCTTAAAAGAATCAAGAGCCAGGTGTGGTGGTGCATGTCTGTAATCCCAGCACTCAGGAGGCTGAGGCAGGAGGACTGCTTCGAATTGCAGGCCAGCCTAGACTACACAGTGAGATTGTATCTCAACAATTTTTTTTTTTTAAATTCTTTTTCTTTGGTACTGAGAATCAAATTCAGGACCTTGTGCTTGCCAGGCAGGACCTTGTGCTTGCCAGGCAGGTGCTGTATTGCTGAGCTACATGTATCCCTAGCTGTTTTCTTTAAATTCTAAAAGTTGCGCTGAGGTTATAACTCAGTGGCACAGCTCCTGCCTGACACGCACAAGGTCCTGAGTTCAATTTCTGGTACAAAAAAAAACATCTAAAAGTTCCAAGATATTAATTGTACCCTCCTGCCCCAGAGAATTCCAGGGAAGAGACCCCAAATCCCACACTCAGTTTGAGCCCAGTGGACCGTTCAGGGGAGTCATCACACCTCCTGTCACCCTGCAAATCCCTGTTCCCCTTCCTTGAACCCAAAGTTAAGTCTTTTAAAATAAGAAAACATGGACACCACTTTGTGGACTAAACAGTCAAGAAGACAGATGTTTGTAAAAAACCGGGAAACATCTTTCTTCTCTCCCCCATCTCCTCCACTCCACCTACTTTCCCCCAAGGTACTCACGGTAATTTTAAACCAGTTCTTAGAGGCCCCATCCTGGCTGGTGCCAGCCCCTCCTCTCTCTGGAGGAGCTCTGTCTCTCCGAACAGTGACATGAATGCGATCTCGATCATGCCACGCATCACCCCTCCGGTTAGGTCGTGAGGTGTAGGGGTTGCTGTGGAAAAGCAGAGAGTCTGATGTTCATGAATGCTGGGAAGAACCATCCTGCACTGTTAAGGTGACTAAGGTGATCTCCTCAACCATTAAACTAGCCTTAACTAGCATCTTTCTTCCAGGTAGGAAGAGAAATGACAAGAACAATCAAGGAGTAATACGACCTGGTGAGCCGCTAAACTCAAAGCAGACCAACCGTCACTTACTATCGTACTCGAGGGCCATCCTGGGCTTCACTCATAGCCACATCTCCATCATCTTCCTCCAGACGGGCAGACCGAACACTAGAACTGCCTCTTCCAGACCGACGGTTTCCGTCACCATACTTCCACCGGAAAGGACCTCGGCCCTTCTTTCTTCTTTGAGGGAAGCTAACACGATCATCATGCTCTGAAGGTAAAAAAGGTACCCCCCACAAAAAAAAAAGAAAAAGGTACCCAAATCAATACCTTAATCACTGATGCAGCTATCTTGCTGTGGTCAGCACTTTTTGGTATCCTGCATTATCAAAATAAAAATACTAGAGGCCATCCCCATGCAACTGTTCTGCCTCTCCAAAGGGAAAAACTCTGGGACAGGAGCAGCAGGGAAAAGTGCCTGGAAAACCATCTAGGGCTCCTGAAAAATGAAACAAAGGCAGGAACCACAGAGACAAGCCAAACATAGAAGAGTGAGCAACCCAAAATGTAACTGGCCGCAAATCAGACCCCTGAAAGCTACCTTAAATCTACCGCTCGGTACTTCTTTCTCTAAAGGCCAGCTACAGATATAACCAACGGGGGTGGTGCTAAAGAAATCTACTCGTTCTCAAACTGCCACTCTGCTGTTTGTGAAGTGTTTTTGCTTCTCTTAACCAGAAATGCCCTTTATCTTGGAAGAGAACTCTTGAGATTCAGGCTCTGGCGACATCTTTGTATTTTGGTACTTAACCAAGGGTCTGGGAATTCACTCCAAGAATGCGACCTGACTCTTGCTGTGCAGAAACAATTTCCATATTTTTTTCTTTGGACAGGGTCTTGCTGTGCAGCCCCAGCTGGCCTTCTGCTCACCATCCCCTTGCTCAGTTTCCTGAGTGATGGGAGTCCAGGAGTGTTTAACAAGTCTATGCAGCCTCATACGGTGGCTCAAGCCTGTAACTCTAGCACTCTACGGCTTAAGTGGGACAAATGCAAGTTCCGGCACATCCCGGGCAACTCAACGATTTAGCAAGTCCTCGTCTCAAATAAAAAACAACAACAAAAAAAGGGATTGAGGATGTAACACCGCCTGAAGGCCCTGGGTTCAATCCCTAGTACGGGGGACGGGGGGCTTCTTACTCCGTGGGCCAGTGAACGTGGCACAAACCTATAAACCCAGTGCTCTGGGAGGCTGAAGCACGAGGATATCAAGTTCGAGCCCTTCCTGGGTAACTTCGTGAGACCTTGTCTCAAAAAATAAAAAGACTGGGATGTAGCTCAGGGAAATACTCGCCTAGCATCCAGGAGGCTCTGGGTTTAGTCTCTAGTATCACGCGCAAAAAAACTCCCAAAAACCAAAAACCAAAAAAACCAACCAACCCAATGAAGGCCACGGGGAGGAGGGTGTAGCTCAGTGGTAAAGTTTACAGACCCCAGCACAAACTCAGAGTTTTATAAATAGTCTTTTAAAAGCCCATGACTTCCAAACAAGGCTATTTGACCCATGGCACGGCCCTCAACAACTGCCCAGAGGAGGCGGAACACGCAAGTGGAAGGCGCCGGGCCCAGCTCGGGGTGACAAGCCCCCGCCTCGTCCCACGTCGGGGACCCCGGGCCGCAGGTCCGCTCCCTGCGCCGACCCCGCCCCCGCGGCCTCCGCCGCCCGCCCGCGGCCCAGGGCCGCCCCTCGCCGGCCCGCCCGGCCCTCGCGGCGTCCTGCCCGGCCCTCGCGGCGTCTTGCCCGCTCTCCTCGGTCCGCCGTCCAACACTGACCGTTGTATGACTTCCCCTCGTCCGCCATGGTCCGCGGAGAGCACAGAGGGACTCCTCTTCCGCGGGACCTCAATTGCCCGCCACTCAGGCGCGTAAGAGACTAACGCAGAACGCCCGGCAGCCGCCGTATTTATACCCCAGGCTCTGCGCGCGCAGCCGCAGTCCCCGGCGGTGGGCGGAACCCGCACGCCCTTTACGCGTGCGCAGTCAGGCAGCCAGGAACCAGTCCGCCTTCTGCGCGTGCGCACACGCTAACACGCCCCTAGGGTGAGCCGGAGGCTGGGACGCTGCTTAACCCTAGGGCAGGGCGGCGTGATCCCCCTCCACACCTTTAGGAGATCCACGTTGCGCTGAGGCCCGCCCTAGCCCCTGCCAGCGGCACACTCAGGAGTCGCTGTCCTCGCCTAAAAAGATTATGACAAAATAGAAAACTAGAATGTCAGCGGGCACAGTGAACGTCTATAATTCCAGCAGTTAAGAGGCTGAGGCAGAAAGATCGTAATTCAGAGGCCAGATTGGGCAATTTAGCGAGACTCTCTCAAAAAACTAAAAAGGTACGTAGCTGAGCAGGAGGTTTGCTGAGCGTTGGAGGCCAGATTGGGCTACATGATGAGTTGAAGACCAGTCTGAATTAGAGACCCTGTCTCAAAGAACCTAACCTAAATATAAGGGGCTCAAGATGTAAAGCAGAAAAGCTGCCCTGGATTCCACCCCCGTGGGGGCGGCTGGCTGAGCTTGAGAGCTTAGAAACCTTGATCCTGAGCTTTTCCCCCTCCAGCTTCTGGGTCCGTGTAAAGACTGGTACACAGTTTAAACTCACCAAATACTTGTGAAATAAATGCGTTTCTGTTCAAGGACGCCCCCCACACTGAGCTGCCGCTGGTGAGCACCCCTCCCGCTTGACTCCAGGTCACACCCCACCCATAATCCACGAGGGCCTCTGCAGCTCGAGCTCCTTTGGCCAGCCGTTTTGGAGGCTCAGTGACCTCACGGTACAGCCTCGGGTCCCCATCGGGAAGGACCAGGCCACGGATGTCGTAGGCTGAGCACCTCCATTCTTCCACGAGGGGGTTGCATTAGCGAGGGGCTTGCAGGGACCAGAGTCACACCTGGAGCTGGAAGATGAGGAACGCCCCAGATGTAGCAGGTCCAACTGCTTAAGCCGGTCTGGGAGTTGTCAGGACAATCAACTGGGCCCCACCTACATGCCAGCCTGAGAAGTGGGGCTTCATGCCAGAAGTGCTATCCACTGGGTCCCTCCCACCGGGGTCAGCAGTGCACCCTCACAGGAGCAGGTCCAAGGGGCCCCGTGCTACCCAGGAACGACAGCACAGCTCTTGAGGCTGACAGTCTCGCTGTAATTGGGAGGAAACCGGCCACAGCACGCAGACTGAGTCACAGCGGCTGGTAGGTGTCGGGCTGTGCAGACAGGGAGGGCTCTGAGGCCCTGCCTCATGCACAGTGAGGAGAGGAAGGAAGTCGAAAGTTCTAGCCCAGATGGGGAAGTTGGTCCCTGGGGCATGTCACTTCTTCTCCTCCGAAGGCAAGGAGGGGCGTCACCTCCCTCTGCTGCTGAAGTTTCTTCTTGGAGAGGTACGGAGGGTTTTATAAAAATCTCCCAGGGGAGACACGGCCCCCACCAGGCCCCAGCTAGCTCCCACTCCCTTCCTGCCACTGCAGAGTCTGGACCCAGACCCATGTGTGTTTTATGGGCCTCAGGGTGGCAAGAGGGGGCAGGCTGGCAGGAGGTATGGGTGGGGTCAGGGATGGGCTGCCCTGAGCAGGTCCAGGGAGTTGAGGCCTTCTCCACAGCACCCAACACAGGCTCAGCGGCAGCTTTGCCACCTGCTGTCGCCACAGCGCCCCTGCCCCGTGCACCGCCTCTGAGTGGACAGGGGTCAGGCCAGGAAGACCACGAAGATGATGAAGAAGACGATGAGGATGAGGAAGATTTTGACCATGAGCCACCGGTTGGAAGTGACTGACTGGAAGTACTTGAGGATCTCGGAGTGGGCAGCCTCAACATCTAGCTGAGCTCCCAGCACATTCTCGTCGATCCTGGAGACAGAAGGGAGAGGTGGCAGAAGGACACTGGATTAAACAGGATGCTACTGAAGTCGGAGTACTGGCTCCGAGGGCCACAATGCATGGAAATAAGGAGTGTCCGTGTGCACAGAACCCCACTCTGGGATCCATATACTTCGGTACAGAAAAGGCTCTTTCAGAGGAATATAAAATATCTTACCTCGGGGCTGGGGATTTAGCTCAGCGGCAAAAGCGCCTGCCTGGCAAGCGCAAGGTCGTGAGTTCGGTTCCCGGTACCGGAGAAAAACCAAAAAAA